TAACTTAAGATCATCCGCAAAAAGCAGATAGTTGCAGTGTTGAAAAATTTAACATAAATCATTAATAAAAATGATAAAAAGTAAAGGAGACAAATGGCCACCTTGTGGTACACCTGAAGTAACATTAATTATATTCGAAGTAAAATTATCTATTTTGATTTGTTGATTTCTATTTTTGAGAAATTCTAATTTTAATGATAAGAGTTTATGGTTTACTTTGTCAAATGCTTTTTGAAAATCTGTGTATATTGAATCAATTTGATGCCCCTCATTAAAAGCAGAAATAATTTTTTTTGATAGTGATTTTAATCACTGTCAGATATCATAATATTTGATCCAACTATGCCACGTCACCTCTGTGCTGCGACTCCCCTGTGCTGGGTTTTTTTTTAATTTTATAGTATAAGACATAACCTTTGATTTGATATATGTTTAAAGGACGCAGTATTTCCGGAAAATTTTCAAAAATTAAGTTAAACAATTTTGATTTTTATACAATATTTCAAGTTTTAAACTACTATTTCTCAGCTATCACTGGACTGATTTATTTCAACAATACGTCAAAAGATCAAAAATCGTATTTAGTTGAAGGCATTACCCTTTAAAATTGAAAAATTTTCTCTCGTTCTCCGCAAATAGGGGAAATATCCAAAAAACTTACAAATTTAAAAATCGGTAAATTTTGTCATTTTTTTCACTTTTTTTTCTTAAAACTTCCATAACTTTTTCAAAAATAAACAAATCAACATAATTTTTTTTATACTAAAACCTTAGATATTTATCTTTCATTTGATATCATTTTTTTGAAAATTTAACACTTAACCTGTGTCACACACACGACTAACTGAGGGTGTTGCACATCTGTCTTTTAAGCATTGCTTAAAATATCTATGGTTAAACAGGAGTTACCACATTCGGTGGTCATAAGATCGATTATCCTTATTTAAATATTTTTACTAACCGAAATTCTTTTTTTAATTACTCAGTAAATTAATTAAAAGATAATATGAAATAAGTGTTTATAGCAATTTAAAAATGTAACAGTTATTTAAAAATATTATGACAGAAAATATTTCCTATACAAAATGTTATTAAAGATGTCAGAAATCACTCGTGTTTTAGCTCCACCTGTACATTGTTAAAAACGTCCAAGATACCGGTCCAATAGTTATTATTAATCAGTTATTTGCAAGTCTTAAGTAAAATAAATTTCGAAAATTAGCGATTTATAAAATTGTAATTTTTATAATTCTCAAACCTGGGAAACCTCCCGAAGATCCCTCCTCGTACAGACCAATAAGTCTTCTACCTATCTTAGATAAATTATTAGAAAAAATTATATTAAAACGTCTTTTATTTATCACTAAAAAAAATAACAACATTCCTGAATTTCAATTCGGATTTATAACAAAACATTCAACTATTTATTAACTACACCGTGTTGCTGATACAATTTCAACAGCACTAGAAACAAAGCAGTACTGTGCCAGAGTCTTTCTAGATGTGGCAAAAGCTTTTGACTCTGTTTGGCATGAAGGACTTCTATTCAAATTAAAAAACATTTTCCCAACTCCTTACTACCTCATACTCAAATCATGCCTGCAAAACCGTTATTTTAAAGTCCGTTATAATCTCCAACACTCCCCATTATACCCAATATATGCTGGTGTGCCTCAAGGTAGCGATGTTGCGCCACAATGTATACATGTGAGCTACCTTTATCGGATGAAACAGTACTTAGTACCTATGCTGATGACACGGCCTTAATATCATCTTCATTAGATCATAAAGTTGCCAGTCAACAGTTACAAGTACATCTAAATATGCTTTCGCTCTGGTTCAAGACCTGGCGTGTCAAAATAAATGAGTCGAAATCTTTTTTCATTTCATTCACTCTTAGAAAACATGACTGCCCAGTAGTTACTATTAATAACATTATTATTCTTCATTCAACCGAGGTAAATACCTAGGGCTAATTTTTGACCGAAGGTTAACCTGGGGTCCTCATTTAAAAGAAAAAAGGAAAAAACTGAACCCGACACTTCATTTACTAAGACCTTTGTTTAAGTCAAATATTTCTTTGTCAAAAAAAAATATATTGTACAAAACATTACTCCAACCACTATGGTCTTATGGCATAATAATTTGGGGACCAGCAAAAAGTTATAACCAGAGAACAATCCAAAGTTTCCAAAACATCTGCTTAAGAATCATAACCGGGGCGCCCTGGTAGACTATTTCAAATGCTGAGCGCAAACGCCTTTCCTGGCAATCCAGTAAGGCGTCTTAAGAAAGAATGGTGCAGAGACCATTCTTTCAATCAATGGTAATTAAAACTCCTAACTATTTTACAAACTACTATATCATAATATATTATTATTATTATTGTTAATATTATGCAATAAAATTAAATATAAATTTTCAATAGTAGGCGACTCCAATGGGAGCGACCTCGCAGGCTACTAATGTTAAGTATTTTATATATGTAGATTTTCTAAACTATTTACTTATTGAAATTTTTTTTTTTTTTACAGATTTTAAAATCATAAATAAAAGAAAAAAAAACATACATAATGAAATTTAATTTATTTTTATGAAATAGAGAATGTCTAATTTATATTTGTTTGTTAATTTATCCATAATTTGAATTACTTTTGAAATAAATCATTTTCAAAAACACTTGTAATACAATAAACTAGAAATAAATATAATTAAAAAAAACACCCTTTTAAAGCACATCGAACTAAAAAGTTCAAAATAATTTTTAAAATAAGCGTAAAACAATAATGAATGAAAAGTACTAATATTATTGTGATGAAAGTGTCGGGCACTCAATATACGAAAAATATGGCACAAAGCACCCACGCTTTTATCACAATAGTACTAGTACTTTTGGTTCATAATTGTTTTACGCTTATTATAAAAATTATTTTGAACTTTTTAATTCGATGTGCTTTAAAAGCGTGTTTTTTTAGTTTTTTTTTAACTGTATTTATTTTTTACTTTTTAGTTTCATGTTATGATAGTAGTTACTATCAATATCATGGTTGTAAAGGGTAAAGGGGAATCAGGGTTCGATTCCGGAGAGGGAGTCTGAGATACGGCTATCACATCGAAGGAAAGCAGTAGGCGCGCAACGTGGAGGTAGTGACGAAAAATGACGATACATGAATCATCCTTTGTAATCGTAAAAAATACCCTATATATCTCTTAATGAGAATAAAGCGTATTAATATATAAGTTATAATAGTAATTAGAATATATATATATATGTATACACATGTAAAGCGACTTAAGTACGTAAACGTATCATACACGAGGTATAGCCGTGTTTTGTGGCCTGGCGTGGCGGGGGGAACATTATACACGAGGTATATACGGCGGCAGCGGCGTCGGCTGTAGGGATATATAAATAAATATTAACATATACGTATGTATAAATATATATTAATATTAGCGGCCACGGTAAGAATATATAATATTCGCATAATATCGCTGCACTTTCGCTGGCGTCGACGACTCGATGTCCGGCGTGATCCTCGGGCGTCAAAAGGTTAGCAGCGTTGATGGAGACGGTGCGCAAGTGTATCGGTGCAAGTGTAACAAGCATCGGTTTGTTGACGTTGTCACTTTGACAACGGGAAGAAGACTACGGTATCATTAGCGGCGGGACGTCGTCGGCCGTGCGGCACTTGCTGGACTTTGCATCGCGGCGTATAACGCGCGGTGTTGGTCAGTCAAATACTCATAAAATAGGGCAACGGCTGATAAAGGTGGTATGAGTCGTAGGGCATCGTGTATAACGAAACGACGCGGGGCCGTGTCAATCACAATAAAAATTTGTTATATATATATATTGTATGGGCCGGGGGTATTAAATAGTAAAATACTTTACCCGGTCACTACGCCCTTTTTACCAAACGGTTTAGCTTCTTGGTATACCACTCCAAGGCTGACCAACCTGTTAGTGTGTAGTGTGGTAATAGAGTCACTGGAGATGGGAGGGGTCGCCTGCGCAAAACCAGTGATCTATGTAGTGCTCAAGTGTGTACTGTGTGTATATATGTTTTTGTGTGTACTCTTAAACTAAATAAATAAATAATTCAATTGCACTTATCACAGATATATTAATAAAATCGGAAGACAACAATCAACAGTAGTAAATGAAATATAAAGGATAGCCCTTCTGGCTCAACAATAATAAAATAAATTTAAACTCTGAAAAATATTGTACACAATAAACCTATAAAAAATTTAACAATAAATACAAACTATTAAATAAATAATATATATAAAAAATTTCTTTGATTTAATTTGAATTATATGCTCAAGTCCTTATGACTGTAATCCCCTTGCCTTATGCGCGAGGATGGTAATATAATACAAATTTAACTCAACACACAACAATTTGTTCAATAATTCAATTTACACTAATAAGACTAACAAATATGTAGATGCAATTGTAAGATAAACTTAAGTTACTTATACTACAATTTATAAACTCAATACTCACAATGAGATGACTAATGTAAACTGGCCAGCTGCTCTTAACACTAATAACACACAACTAAATATAATACAATAGAACAGACAGACCACAACACATAACTTTTTCTAACAAGTAATACACAGAGTCAATACAATAATAGAAATAGTTGATCACAAATATTACAGTTCAAGTTAGAATATCACACTTTTGACTAGATTAAATAAACAATGCGAGCCCTATGGCTGTAAAATATAGCGAATAATTAAGAAAAGAATCGCACAAAAATTTCTCTTAAAAATATTCAAACTATTTTTAAACAACTCAAAAAACTATAACTATATTATAACTCTAGCCTACAAAATTACTGTGTTATGTTGTGTGTAACAGGTGGCCGGCTGATTGATAACGTTGCTGGAACCGTTATCAATCGTGGTAGTGGTTATACTGTTGTCGCGCACTGCTAGGAGGGACTCAGTATCATTAGCGGCATAGTGAAACGTATTATAGCCTTTTACGTGGCCTCAACATCCTCCCCACGTTGAAGGTCTTGAACTTCAACAGCGTCTTCATCTTCTTCTTGATTAGGAATTAATGCAATCTTCACAACCGGGCGACGCAACTCTTGTCCAGATGAATTGCGCACTGTTACGACCCTCACTGTACCATCGGTACCGGGGTGTAGTCGTACGATCCTCACTAAACGCCATTGAATTGGTGGCAGTGTATCATCTTTTAAAATCGCCAAATCACCAATAGAAGGATTTCGCCCTGGCGTTGTCCATCTACCACGTCTCTGCATTTGAGGCAAATATTCGGAGGACCATCTATGCCAAAACAATTGGAGCGTTGCTTGTATAAGTTTGAAGTGGTGCACTCTGTTAATAGGTGTAGTGGCATGATCAGGCTCAGGTGGTAAGGTGAGTGGACCTCCAACCAGAAAATGTCCTGGTGTTAATGCTTCAAAATCTGCTGGATCAGAGGAGAGTGGTGTCATCGGTCTCGAATTTAGGACTGCTTCTACTCTGCACAATAATGTAGACATTTCCTCGTAATTTAGTAAAGCACCTTTTATCACTCTTGTCAAGTGATGTTTTGCCGACATAACACCCGATTCCCATATCCCTCCAAAATGAGGAGATGAAGGTGGTATGAAGGTCCATTCTATTCCCATGTCTGAGAGTTTTGATGACACTCTTAAATCATCTTGAGTCGTATTTAGCCACGATTTTAATATTCTGCTTGCTCCTATAAAGTTTGTCCCGTTGTCACTAACTAGCTTTGCACAATTCGACTTTTTCATCTGATTAATCACAACCATCCAACTCACCATCCTAGTTGCTGATCGTTTTCGCAGAATTTTACTTATTCGATGTTGCAATATGTTTAAATGATACAATTGTATTTTATTTTACAACCTTTTTTGTATACTAGATGATGCATTTTATTTTACAATCTTATATTTCCAGACAATATGTTGCAATTTATAATCTTGAGTTTTTAATTTCTAAAGATTTCTCACGTAATTTATTCACAGCATGATCAGGATTTTTTCCAGTAAATAAAACACGTGTGTCTTTAAATTAAACGAGTAATTTATTAATCATTTAATTGTACATATAATTATTTCATTTTTTAAAAAAATACAATATTTATTTTAACACATATTTCTATTAAAAAATAATTTGTTATAAGAACATTATATCGTAACTAGAGGTGTGATCTTTTCTTCCGTTGCATACAAGTTTGAGATTTTCATCAATTCCTTTGTTTAAATCTTCACGAGTGAATGTAAATCTTGCGGGTAAATAAACTTGAAATGACGGTTCATTATCAAGTTTTACTTCAGCCACTGCAGTCTCATTCGAGTATTTTGATTTTGCCATATACAGTCCCAGAACCTTGTATTCTACTCCTATTTTAAGATCAGACACACACATTCTACGTTTATTTTTCATACCATTCAACCAATCTTTATTTATCATACTCATCTAAAATTTAAAATACACATATCATTGTAAAATAATTCATCTTGTGTTCTAATATGAATTATTGAAAAACTTACTTTTATCTGTGGATGATAGTCATCAAATTATCCTCACGTTGATCACGTTATTTTACAAACTTCACCGATTACAAATCAAAAATTACTGAATTTTATCAAAAGAAACTATAGTTTTTATACCAAAATAATAACGTATATATAACAACTATTAATGGAGGGAGATAATATTATTTCAGAACGCATATAAATTTATTGCGATCATTTATTAATGAAACGTTTTTTAAAGTGTGGCGGTAATAACGTGATAAGGGTGGCGCTAATAATTTTGATAAGGGAAGTGGTAATAATTTTGAAAAGTGAGGCGCTATTATTTGTTATCAAATTGAATTTTTATTTTGATAAGGGAGGCGCTAATAATTTTGATAAGTGAGGCGCCCCCACAAACACACATCATACATATGTGTGTATGTGTGAGTTTATTTATTTATTGTATCATTAAAGTGTAGTATATATTAATATACAAGTGATAGAGCAAGTAATTGAGTATGTGTATGTGTGAATTTAAACCCAACTAAACACTAGATTGTACATTCCCAAACAACAATCATATTATATCAATTGCCACCGGAATTTTCTTTTTCTTTGCCTTAATCCCAACTATTTAGGATCGGCCACCCTTATCCTAAGCTTCCACTTGACACAATCTCCCTCATCTATGCTCACATCAGCTGTCCTCATGTCGCATTCAATAACATCCCTCAATCTCCTTTTTGGTCTTCCTTCTTGTTTCAAAATTCATTTCTATAACTATTCTTACAGCTTCCGAATCTTCTCTCCTCATAACATGACTAAACAATCTAAATACTTCCTCTTATATGCTCGTTCCTTATCCTATCTTCTCTAGTCACTCCACTCATCCAACTAAGCATTCTCATCTCTGCTACACTTATTCTCTGCTCTACCTTCTTATCAACCGCCCAACACTATGAACCATACATCAAAGCTGGCTTCACAATTTCATACTAAATTTAAAAACTATAATTAGTAATTATTCATATATTATATTTTAGAATTATAGAACTACTAATTAGGATATAATTAAATAAATAAGAGTTGATGTTGCTTTTGGAATAATCCACCAATTTCTATTATCTATTCTAATATTTTCAGATTTGCATCGAAGCGTTTCTTATGATAGTGATTTTAATCACTGTCAGATATCATCTATACTTGTCCCATCTATGTCTCGTCTTCACTGTTGGGTTTGTACCACTGTGCTATCGTTTTTTTTTTTTGTGTGTGTGTCTGTAAACCAAACCAATCTCAGCTCTCGCTGGACCGATTATGATTAAAAATATGTCAAAAGATCACAAATTGTATCTAGTCGAATATTTTACCACCTCCCTCCATATACTTGCAAAGATAAAATTTCCCTTCATCCTTCTCCCACCAAATGAGATTTATTATTTCTGTTTCTTTAAATGAACAATCAACCATATTTCAAATTCTTCCCCACCCTATATGAATATGAATATACTCATATTTTTATGCCGATATTTTTTTTTTCTAACACTTGTAATTGTATAAAACATAATTTTTTTTAAACTAGACATTTTATTTCTCTTATTAAATTAATTAAGTAAATAAAAATCAATTTTTATTGNCTCTCAATTGTATAGCTATAATGAACCCATAAGTCGAATGATAAGAGAAAGTAACAAAATTTCATTTGATTTTAACTTTGATAATGAATCTAGTCTTCGGTCTTTGTATTTGTATAATAGTTAATATTTATAAATTTATGCCATCTATATGCCTAAATTTATAGCATTATGTATTATTATTATTATTATAAATTTGTGAATACTTTATGTTAAATAATTTGTACACTCTATTGCCCGATAAGGGCGTCAATATATATAAATAAATAAATAAATAAATTTAATATTATCTAGTTAAATAAACTACGCGATTTATCAATCATGAAATATTTATTATAATGTAGTTATAACAACCGTATTACTATATCGAAATTAATATTCGTCAGGTAATTTTCTTAACTAAATCATTTGTTATTTTATATCAAATTAAATCATTTATATTCCTACTTAAAATAAATAACTAAAGACAATTAAAAAATGGCATTACATCATACATAGGTCTCAGTACAAGTTTTGTATGTTAGTGTTCATAAGTTTTGATTTATAAAAATTTATACTATTTATTTAAACTAAATATTATGTTAAATATGAATCTTCTAAACTTTTTTGTACTAATCGTTATTTTAATTCAATCACTACTGTCAAATTTTGTGTTAAGGAATTTAAAAGAAATGAAAAAAATTGGAATTCTTAATGAAATACTTGCGAATGTAAATGCATGAGATAAATTTAAGAATATAGAAGTTAGTTTAAGACGTGATCACACCATCAAAATATTAACAGTTGAAAACATCTTTGATGAAAAAAAGGTAGAGTTAATCTTTAAATTCGTAAAATGTAAGAGTTTGTAAATGATTAAGTTGTGTAATCGAATTTTGTCATTCATGTATGAAGGTTATAAAATGATCTATGATGAAGAAATAACAAGACAAGATAGAACAATAACCTTACAAATGAAGGATTTGCTTCTAAGAAAAATCGATGAATATAGAGAATTAGTACAATATATTAATAATAAGGCACTGTTTTTTAAAAGATTATTTACTAAAGGTAATACTGATGTATGTGCTGATGACGCATTTTTTTCAAAACTACTTTATATAGTAATTATGCCAATAGCATCTGAAGATAATAGATTTGCAACATATTTGAAAAATACATTAAATGACTCACTTAACAATTTTTTTTATTATTCAAAAAATTCATGTTCTTATACAAATAGTATTAAACTAATGCCTTCATATAAACAAAAATACAAAGATTATAAGTCAGCTAATGAAGAATATAATGATAGCTTTGCAGAATATATAAGTTATCACTTTGACTTTCATGTAAAAGAAACTTATGATTTGTTTAGACTGTTGAAATTAAATAAATATTATATTGATATATAATATTAAATTATCAATTTTTATTGTTTATAAAACATATATGAAACTTAAAAAAGCCAAATCAAGTTTTTATAATAGTTGTTATTTTAAGAAAAATCGAGTGATTTATATTAATAATGTATATGATAAGTTCAACACTTATATTTGTATAATTATATTATATTCTTATATTTTATAAAAATATAATTATTTTATTATTATTACTTTTATAAAATATTTTTATGTTTTTCATTATGTATATTAACCAAAAACTGACAAATTTCTTGAAAAGTATAAATTTTATAGTCACAATAGATATTAACTGAAATAATAAAAATTATAAATTATTTGTGCCTATCACTATAATGTCATTTCAAAATGTATATGAATATATGTAATCTATTTATAATAATAAATTATTTGAATTGTTAGATCATTTGTAAATTTGTTAATATTAAAACTAAATATTTTGTTTAGTAAATATGACCAAACCATCTAAGTCTATTTTTTCTCATCTTTTCCACGATTGACGCTACACCTATACTCCCTTACTGATGCTTTTGACTAAGTGAATTGACGTTTGAAATAAATGATTTTATGAACTAAAAATGCTTGAGAACTCTTTTTGGAAATATTGTTAAATATACTAACAAATCATGAACTAATCTGAAAGTAAAATATTTCAGTAGTATTGCATGTAAACAAGGAAGTACACAATATGAATTATAAAATCTTAGTTGTAATTAGTGATGCGAAATATCGAATAATAACTATCGAACTATTCGATAGTTGTACACTATTCGAACTATTCGATAGTCATTCAAAAACTATTCGAATAGTAAAAATATTCGATAGTTCACAATATATTCGATTTTTTAAAACTATTCGATAGTCTATTCGAATAGTACCTCCATTCGAATAGTTTTTAAAATATTTGATAGTTTATGCTAAAAATAAAATATTCGGTGGCATAAAAACAGTTCAAATAATTAATCAATAGTTTAAAATATTTCAAAATGCTCATCACTAATTTTTTTTATTGTTAATTATATCCTATTTATAATCTTAGTACCCTGAATAAACAGTTTTAAAACAATCCTATTTAGATTGTTAGTGTTATTAAAATAGCAAAACTATAAATACAAAATAGCAGGTAATACTAGACTAAGAACATTATACAAGATATTAAGTGTAAAATGAGACTTTAGTATTTACGAATACTTCTGTTGCGCATAGAACATACCTTTCTGATAAAACTGAAAATATATCATTAGTCATCAGAAAAAAGAACTACTTT